CTCTACACACACACATGGATATTCTCTTTCTGAAAGTTCTAATTCAATCAAACAGGTCATGTGCTCTGAGCCTCCCCACCTTCCATGTCAGCTGCTCCTCTTCCCAGGACCTTTCCCCTCTTAAAATCCTATTCATCTTCCTTTCAGACCCAACACACTCTTGGCTCTGCCAGTAGGACCCTTCTGGCTGCTCTGACCCTTGGCTGACCTCTGACATTTGAACCCCCGCAGCCCTGCTCTCTAAGCCTGTGTACCACTCCCAAAAGCAGGGCTTCGGTCTCCTGATCTCTACTCTCAGAGACCTGCAGGCACAGCGCTAGCAAGAGCTAAGAAGCCTAAGGCTGAGGCCAGGTTCAAGGTCAAGATTTCTGCATGGCCCAGATTGAGGGCTGAAGCTCTGTGCAGTTAGGCCTCTAGCTGGGCCCAAGTTTGGACTGAGGAAGGGTCTGCAGAATGGGGGTCAGGACTTAGCCTGGAGTCAAAACCAGGACTTGGAGGTCTGCCTGAGCTGAGCCAGCTGGTGTGCAAGGCAAATGCTCCCATGGCCGCCTCACACCCCATGGAGCTCGGGGCCCAATGGGATGAGAGGCTGAGGGGGCCCTTCAGTCTTCCTCCGAGGCTGGCCCGGGGGTGTTTGCCAGGAAGGGCCCTGCCTGTAGATCTGTCCAGTGAGAGCTCAGAGCTGCTCTGTGCCAGCATCACGCCCAGCTGGGCTCTGGCCACTCCAGTGCCATGGTGATGGCACCACTGCCAGCCTTTCCCAGCCCCGTAACCATGGGAATGTGCCCAAGGCTGCAGCTGCTTCTGTGATGCTGCTGAGGCAGGGAAATGGCCTGCCCATCAACCCCATCCCTACCACCCATCCATCTGATCCGATGCTGGGGATGCTGCAGGTTCTGTGACCCTGGGTTATGTCATCCCACCTGTTGTTCCCCACCCCTACCCCCATGCACACACACACACACACACATACACAGCACCCTGTCTCTGGAAGGGAAGCATGGGTTAGAATGGTCTGGGGGGAAGACAGGGAGGAAAAAGAGAGAGACACACACGGCTGTGCGGGATGGGCAGAGGGAACTAGAGGAGAATTCTGACAGATGGGGAAGCTGGCCATCTGGATGCAGTGAAAAGCTCCAGCCACCTCTCGCCAGCCCCAGGACCCAGATGTCCAAGATCACCGAGACAGGCCAGCAGCCCCAGCGGCTGTTCTGTCACTTCCCACAGCTGGAAGCTGGGGCCCCATAAAGAGACAGGAGACAGAGAGAGAGACAGAAACAGAGACAGAAGTAAAAAGCGATAGAGACTGAGAGACACAGAGCAGGACAGCGCCAGAAGAGAGACAGCCACGCAAAGAGATTCACACAGAGGAGAGATGGAACAGAAGCTCAAAAAGAGAAAGAAGTCCCAAGCATCTGCCGTTTTTAGTTCCTTGCTGTTTTCCAAAGCCTGGCTCTGCCTCTGAAGGCAGCCTTCTTCCTCACAGCACCAGGGCCTGGGCCCCTGGTGACCCCAGATTCTGGAGGGTGAGGGTCTTCTCAAGGGTGCTGGGCTGGACACACAGGGCCCTAGAGGGCAGGGCAAGGGCTGGGGTCTCTTCAGGACCCCTACCACCACCTGCCCCAGGTTCCCCATTTACATGCCCCCTGCCACCACCTGCCCCGGGTGAATGCTCCAGTCCCCTGGGACTCCATCTATTCCGGGCCCCTTCTGTCCCCATCCACATCCCACAACACGCAACTCTCTACTACCGTTCCAACCTAGGCCTGTCTTCTCAGCTCCCACCTGCTCCTTGGCATCGAACTGAATGTCTCAGTGAGCCCCAAGCCTACCGTGCCCGCACTCAGCTCCGGCTCCTCTTCATTTCACACATCAGTTTGTCACCCAGTTAGACATGCTTTGCATCTGTCCTAATCTTTCCTACAACCATTCCCCTAACCAAGTGTCCATTTTCAGTCTCCCTGCTTCTAGTTGATGTCTCTGCCAGAAATTCAGTTTTCACATAGCAGTCAGTTTTATGTTTTAAAAACATAAGCCTCATTTTACACACACTTCCAACAGCCCTTGGGATAGAACCTTCTTAGCATGGCTTTCCCAAACCTGCTTGATCTGGGTACTCTCCGTCCCACTCTCATCTCGGGCTGCCTCTCCTTTCTCACTGCAACCCAGCCACAGTAGCTTACTTACAGTTCCCCCCAAACTCACATGTCTTCCTGCTTCAGGGCCTTTGCACATGCTATTTCCTCTACCTGGGATTTTTATCCACTTCACTTGGCCAACTCATTCTCATGGTTCTAATCTCCACTTAGATGTTACCCCCTCCAGGAAGCCTTTTTTTCACTCCAAGACTAGATTTGGTCCTCCAGATATTTTTTCTTTCGGTGTGCTATTTCTCTTTCATACACCTTTCACCATTATTATGCAGTTGTTTGAGTGGCATTATTGTCTTCCAGTACTAGACATCTGCCGTGTTTGTAGCCAGCCAGCATATTCTGAATGCCCTTCCTATGTCTGAGGAACATGACACACTTCTCAGACGTCTAAGGTGGAAGTCAGAACTGGCTCTCACAGCCCACTCCCCACACCGTGCAGCGAGTCAGGGTCAAGACCACGGCCATGCTGTTAATTGTCACCCTGTGAAACTTAGGTTTGGAAGAGAGCAACAAGAGGCTGTGTCCTATTCCTTCCCTCCTCCAGGGAGGGCCCCCTGTGCTGGCCAGACCAGCAGCCCCTTCTTCCACCAGCCCTGTAGGCCCACTCCACCCCAGGCAAGGCCCTGCAAGTCCTGAGCCCACCTCCAGTGTTGGCACCTCATCCAGGGAGCACCTTTAGCCCAGCCAGGGCTCTTGGCTGTGCTTGTTGTGCCACCTGGTGGCCATGTTGAGCATTGTTGTTCTCGAGCCACATTGTCTGCAATCCAATATCCCTGCTGAAGAGCCCTCAGAAGTCCCCTGAAGACAGACTCCTGCTACAGATGGGAATTCCAAGGCCCTGAGAAAGAAAGGGCTTACCAGTCAAGGGATTGGTCCAGCAACCCTCACTGTAACCCCAGTCCAGGTTTCCCCATCGTGGAAGAGACTAGAAAACTGTCAGTAATTTGAGACTCCAGTTTAAATTGGAAGGAAGCAAGGAGCAGACTTGTAGTGATAAATGAAGCTGCTAGGGAAGGGATAGACAATTCATAGAGCAAGCTGCTACTTCTACCACTGCTAACCACCAACTAACTGCTAACTAACCACTAACTAACTGCTAACTAACCACTAACAATAACCTCTAACTACTAACACTAACCACCAACTAACTGCTAGAACTCACTACTAACACCATTACTAACACTGCTTAAACTCCAAGAGACCATTCTGATTATCAGCTGACAAAGACATTATCAATGATAATGATGATGAGAAACAATCACACTTACACTGCTTGTGCAAGAACACGCTGGGCCAGCTTTTCTGGGAGACAGTTTACCAACAGGAATTAAAGGACATTGTATGCATTGCATCAGCTCAAAAATCCCAGATCTCAGAGTTTATTCTGAAATTTTCATCCCTTTGAAATGCACATGAAGAATTAGATGCAAGGACATTTGTTGTCATAATTATTTACTTTAAAAATTGGGAGCAATCTTCACTAATAGATAATAGATGACTTGTTAGACAGTAACTGGCTAGGTAAAGAATATTAGGTAGGCTTTACAAACTGAGTGTCAGAAAAAATGTTTGCCTGGCTCTGCAGCAACATCCACTTACTCTTTTTTAGTAATTTCATATTGAGATATAATTCACATGTCATATATTTCACCCTTTTAAAGTATACAATTCTGTGGCTTCTAGTAGATTCACAGCATGTGTAGTCATCACCACTATCTAATTTTAAAACATTTTATCATCCTTGAAAGAAATCCATCAGTAATCAGTCCCCATTTCCCCTCCTCCTACCACCTAAAACCTCTAATCTACTTTCTTTCTCTGTGGATTTGCCTATTCTTGGCCTTTCAAATGAATGAAATTATATAATATGTGGCGTTTTAGGACTGGCTGCATTTACTTAGCATGTTTTCAGGGCTCATCCATATCACATCATGTGCCTGTATTTTATTTCTTTTTATTGTAGCATATTCCATTGTATGGATATACTTCATTTTGTTTATCCCCTCACCAACTGATGGGCATTTGGGTTTGGGGCATCTTTTGGCAATTATAAGTAATATTGCTATGAATATTCATGAACAATATTTTATAGACAGGTTTTCAATTTTCTTGTCTATATACCTAGGAGTGGATTTGCTGGGTTATGTGATAACTCACTGTTGGACTCTCTGAGGAACTTCCAGACTCTTTGCCAAAGCAACAGCATCATTTTATATTCCCACCAGCAATATATAAGAGTTCCAATTTCTCTACATCCTTGATAACACTTATTATTGTCTTTTTTTTTATTTTAGCCATCCTAGTCAGTATGAAACAGCATCTCATTGTGGTTTTGACTTTCATTTTCCCAATGACTAATAATATTAAGCATCTTTTTGTGTGTTGTTGGCCATTTTTATATCATGTATGTTAATTTTAAGCATAAGGAAGAAGATACAAATTGATAAATATAGTATTTAGCTCCAGGGGGAAGAATGTTCTCAGCCCAGGGTGAATCCCATATGAAACCAATGAAACCAAAATAAGTCAAGGGAAAGGGTAGCTTGGGAAAAACTCTTTATTGCTCATAGCTTGCTCAGATTCACTAGCTAGGCCCCGCTCTGTATGTCTCCTCTGCCTGCCGCTTACACTCGGCCTCCTCAGTGTACTCTCTATTTCCCACCTGCCCCTTCTGGGAGAAACTCCATTGGCGGGTCCTTGGTGACTGGCAGACGCCAGACCAATTATGTAGCAGGAATGGAGAGGAGGAGAGAATGGCCCTTGTCTTCCACCCCTTGCCCCAGAAGATGCAGGGGGCTGCAGTGGTAAACACTTATTGATATGTAAATGGTAAGGCCAGGTGGGAGATGCTGGAAATTCTGTAATTTATTCCATAAGTATGATTACAAGAAATTTCAAATGTGCAGAGAAAAAAATCTTTCAGGAAACACACAAAAACATCAGTAGTTATTACCTTTGGTTGATGAGATTATGGCTGATTTTTATTTTCTTTCTTAATCCTTTCACTATCTCCCAAATGCCATGCAAAGAGTAAGAATTACTTTTATGATGTGAGACTAAAGGAAGACTGCATGACAGGGATTTTAGACAGGACCACACCTTGACAATTGTCTAACCAGGAAGGTGCTGGGCAGGTACATAACATGGCCAACAATGTGACTTGGGTTTCACATGGCTGCATCTCCTTTCACTGGAACCCTTGTGACTATAAGGAGGAAGGTGTCCATCAGAGGACAAGTGGTAGGCAAGATGTAAAGCCAGGACAAGCTTTCTGGAGGCCAGGGAACAGAGCTGAGTTTTGGAGGGCAGACCCGCTGCAGGGAGACCAAGAATAGGAAAGATCTCGCTCTGACCCACTGCATCCCTTTCCACCTGTTCTCTATACTCAAATCTCCTTCCATCCCCTTCAGTCAACAAACATGTCCCAAGAACAGTGCTCAGTCGTCATTCTTCTCCCTCCTGCCAAGGAGCAGGGGAGGGGAGGGATGGCCCTTGATGATGTGTGACATCAGGGGCCCTTATTTGGGTCGGGGGTGGCAGGCAGCAGGCTGGAATCCAGGAGGGCACACAGCAGAGAAGACATAAGAGAAAAGACCTAGAACTGAGGAATCTCCACCCTACAGAAAAATAAGGAAAGGGACCCAAGCAATTTCTAGAGCAAACCCAAAAGGCTAACGAGCACAAGATGAGATGTCACGCTCATTAGTCATCAGAGAAATGCAAATTAAAACAACAATGAGGTGTCACTTTACACCCATTTGACTTGCAAACATTTAAAAGCTGGGTAATGCCAAGTGTTGGTGGGGCTGTGGATGGGAGAGTAGGTTTTGCAGGCATTCTGGAGCGCATGCTGGCACGAATTCCTCACATTAAGAAAAGGCATAGCTGACTGACCCGGCACTTCCGCTCCTGGGTACGTGTCCCAGAGGAAGGCTCGCTCGCACAGTTCCAAAAGGGAGCAGGCCTGTGAATGTTCACCCAGAGAGAGAGGACAGGGCCAGTCCCATGTGGGCGATGACACACCATGTGGCACCATACGGCAGTCAAAACAAGGGACCAGATGAGCACACAGCAACATGGGTGGATCTCTTACAAGCACAGTGCCGAGGAGCAAAACATTAGAAGCAGGATAAGGCATATATCCAACAGCATTAATGCACATTAAAAGTACAGCCATACACAAAACACTATATATTTTGCAAGAACACGCAGAACGCAAATATTCACATTAAACACCTTGGAACATTTGCCTGTTGGACAGGAATGGGAGTGGAGGTAGGGACCAAAGAGAATACATTTTGAAGATAAATCAAGCAAGCAGATCCCTGCACAGGCAAAGGATGCTGGTGTAACATGAACTGAGAAACAATAAGCACACTTCTGCACCAGAGGACCAAATAAAGGCTGTAGGCCCCTCCCCTCTAGAGGTGCACATACACTCCACTATGCCTCCATTCATTTACAAGGTCATTGGCTCCTGCAGCCTTGGGAGAGGGCCCAGACTCTAGAAGGAACAGACTTCTAGAGAGGAACAGAGCCAGAGGAACCAAGGAAGTCAGAGGTAGACGCACAGGGGCCTGGGAGGAAAAAGTCAGGTGTGGGACAGGGGGCACAGGCTGCACCTGCTCAGGGCCAGCAGCAGCTTGTGTGGGACACGGCCTGAGGACTCTCAGGGCCACCAGGCCCTCTTGCTCCTCCAGAGGGTGGGGGCCCCAGGAGCTGTCCAAGTTCGGGTGTAGACTCTAGTTGTATGATGTGCCCAGCATCTTACACGGATGTCAGCACCTTTGCCCCTGAGCGGGAAGGCATTGACCACCTGGGAAGGGCCCTCCGGGCTGGCAGAAGCTCAGGGTCATGGCCATGCCACCTCCGTGAGATCTCAGTCCTCACCTTCAGGGACAAAGAGAAGTTATTAGGAAGGTCCCACCTCTGCTTCTGTACTCAGCCCCAGTGTGATGAGGGTGCAGGAAGAGACAGTGAAGGAGAAATAGACACATGAGCTCCTGGGGCAGGAGAAGCCAGGGTTGGCTCCTGCTAAGTACTACCTCTGGAGGACACTACTTCCTCCTTCCTGTGAGCGTTTACAGCCACCCCCTCTAGCTCCTTTCTTACCTTTTAGCACTGCCTTTGTCAGAGTCCAATTAAAGACACTTACGGGAGCTCTGTCCTCCCCGACTGGTTTAGACCATCCCTGCACTGGGGTTCAGTCCTGCCCCTGCCCCTGCCCACTGAACGGAACTGTGACTACTGGGAACCTGCCCAGAGAAGATGACCTGAGGGGAGAGCGAACTCAGAGCTCTGTCTAAGGAGCTGAAGTCGAGGGGACTGAGAGTAACCGGAAGAAAAGCAACCAGGCCGGGAAGAACTGTCTATAGCATCATGTCTCCAAGGGGATGTTGGGGTCTGAGAGGGCTGAGGCTATGACCCACATGATGGTGCTGAACTTGGTCTGTGGTGAAAGACAAAGGGAGACAGATTTTTATCTAACATAAAGGTGAGCTTCCCCACAGCTGTCTGACAACTGAAAAGCTATAGATGGGTAGTAGGTACCCTGTCACCAAGGTATGTAACTACCTGGCTCCCAAACACCTACTGGGACACATCCGTTCACAGTGCTCTAAGAAAGCCCCTTTCCCAGGACCCACCAGCCTCAGCCAGGGCTGACCCTCACCCCTCCCAGCGTCCCCAGGGCCCGTGAGCAACTACACTCATCCTGCAGTCCTGTGTCTGCACCAGACACAAAATAAAACTGTGAGACTTGGAGAGCCTGGGGTGGGAGCAAAGAGAGTCAAGCAGGAGGCTGCCAGTGGGAGACAGAAAGACAGCTGAGGGGAAGCGCTGCTGCACAGCTGGAAGGCAGGGGTGCACCCAGGTCTGGGGCAGAACAGAGCCCAAGGCAAACCCACGGCCACCGGAGAGGGCCTGTGGCTCTGCCTGCGCACACAGAGGCTGGCCTGGTTGTCAGGGCACTTCACTAAAGTCTCCCACCTCTCCCCAAAACGAGTCTATCCTAAGAGGAAATGCAAGACACCTTCCAGGGGAATGCTTTAATTCGCTCCTCTCTGCCATCTTCCTGTATTTCTACACCTGTATCAGCAACATCTCTTTCATCTGTTCATGTGCATGTTCACCTCCATTGGGTCTTTTTGTCTGCCTCTCTCCTCCAGGTCCCTCACTCCCTCTCAGTGTCCCTGGCTCTACTCTCTATGTCCCCGCTTTTGCAACCTCTGATTCTATTTTCATAGCTCTCTTATGTCTGCTTCTGACTTTCTTGGTTCTTCTGTCTCTCCCAGAGCTGGCTTATTCCCTTCCCCAACTCTCCCTATTGTTCAGTTTTAGGAACACAGAATTGGGAGATCTCTTTAGTCCACCCCTGTGAGAGGCATCCTCTACCCCTTGCTGAATGGACAGTAAGCTTGACCCAGCCCAGAGGAGGGTTGGATAAAAGATGTTTACATGAAGTATTCAGGTTCAGCTTGATCCAGAAGCTCAGGACAGACTGAGCTTCACAGAGGATCACATAAGTCAAAGACTGGACTGAGCTTGGGTTTACAGGGCATTGGCAGCAGGGAGGGGCCCTTAGGACTAGTGGAAGGGAAGGCTTGATGAGTAAGGACAGCCTCAGAGCTACATACCTCTTGGTTGAGGAAGCAATACAGGACGGCAACAATGAAGCCCTGCGGGGCCAATGAGAAAGGATTGCATCAGGGTATCTTTTCGTGGCCTCAAGGCATCCACAGTCTTTCTTCTGCCTTTTCCTGCACAACCCCCAGGCTGTGGTCCAGGTCTTTGGTAAAAGGGAGGGTAGATGCCTTCCTTACAAATTATGTGCCAGGCATATTATCTAATGTGATCATCATAGCAAAGCTGTCAGAGCCGTTGTTAGCCTATTTCTCTGATTTTCTTTGTTTCTACATCCCCAGAACTGAGGACAGAGCTTGTCACATAATGGGTGCTCAATGATGTGGGTGAATGGATGGATGGGTGAGTGGGTGGGTAGATGGATGAGTATGTAGACAGATAAGTGGATGATGGCTGGGCTGATGATGGGTGGACAGGTAGGTGGATGGATGATTAAATGGATGGGTAGATGGGTGCAGTGATAGAAGAGTGAATAGAGAGTTAAATGGATGGAAGATGGACAAACAGATGGATAGCAGAAGAGATATATGCGTGACTATAAGGAAGGATAAACAGCTTAGCAGCCATCACCCTACCATGAAGTCAACCAAGTCAGTGGGTGGCAGGACCTCCCTCCTGCCCAAGCACTCGGAGGAAGGAAGTGCCCGGGGAGTCCGCACCTGGAAGGAGCCCAGTCCCAGCTCCAGGGGGAGGCGGATGCCCAGGCCAGCACTGTCGGGCAAGAAGTTGAAGATGATGTAGTGAATTCCAAACAGTGGGATGAGGAGAAGTGTTGATTTGGAGAGACGCCTGTGGGAGAAGACAAGTCCTAGGCACCCGAGGCTGGAGTTAGAAATTCCCACATGTCCCCTGCCTGCTCCTATTCCCCACTAGCTCCCCATATAGACTCTGTGCAACAGCCACCCTGGAGAAGTCCATCCTCCCCACATGCACACTAGGCTTCCTTACTTCAGGACCATGTATTCTGCTGCTCCCTCTGCCAAATGCTCTTGACTCAATTTGTTCCAGGCAAAGCCTATGAATCTTTTAATTCTAGTTCAAAGACCTCTTCCTCCAGGAAGTCTTCCCTGTCCATACCTTGCCCCTGGCCCTCATTTGAAAAGGTCCTCCTTCCATAGGCTCCTGTAGCAATTGATCCCAGCACTCATAAGACTTTCTGGCCTGGTGACTGTTTGGAGCCTCCATCCTCCCCACATTGTGATTTCCTAGAGGACAGGGACCAGATCTCTTCTCTGTTTGGGACCATAGGGAGGAATATGGGACCAGTATCATGAATACCAGATCATGAATGAAACAGAAACACACTGACTTCCATTCCGGGTATGTCCCCAGTAGCCCCCAACATGTGTGCATGCAACACACACACACACACACACACACACATATGTTACCAGTACTGAGACTGGCTGTGGAGGCTGCCCTGAGCTGGCTCCAGTTTCCTCAGCAGGATGCGGATAATATTGAGAAAAAGACCGAAGTTCACCTGGCAATAGAGATGCAGAAAGGTCAGGGTCAGGGGATGGCCCTGGTAACCTGGGGGCGGGGACTCTTTGGGAACAAGAAACCCCAAATCCTTGAGACACAGGGATGTGCCAGTGGATGGAAGTGCAGACTGCTCTAGAATTCGTATCCTGGAGACTGGGAGGTCCCACAAGGGGCTCAGGGTCCTGCTCCCTCTGTAGTCCTGGAATCAAGAGTGAGAGGTCAGGCCTTTCCATCCTGCCTCCAGCACCTCCCAGGGTCTTCTCTGGCACAAAGCATGTAGTTCTCACTTTGTAAAATTGCTAAGCTGGGAAAAATTGACTAAGGCAACACAAACCAGTCCTGGCCACCCTGTGGTCCGCGTGGGAGCACGTGGTAGGTAGAATAGCGCTCTTTAGCCTTCTCCCACCCGAGCCTCACTGCAGGGACAGATGATCTGCAACCAGGGCACCAGGCCCATCAAAAGTATGAGCGACAGAGGCCTGAGTGCTGATCCTCTCGCCCCCCTGGTTTTACCGATGGGGTAGTGAGGTCCTGGGAGGGCCTCACGGAGACTCCGTGGCACAACCTACGCATCTTGACTCCCAGGCCGGAGTCGTGTTTTGTGCTGTGTACAGCCCCTCAGGGGACCCAGGGAAGTTGGCTGAATAAAGCAGAGGACACTGGCCCCAGAGACTGACCCCAACAGAGAGGACGATGGGCCCTTTGATGATCCACCAGTAGGGGGAGCTGTTGTCCAGGTCCCAGCACCTAGGGAGAGGGCAGGCGGGGGCTGACTGGGGTGCCAGCAATGCAGGTGCTGGAAAGCCCTTTTCTGCAGTAATCCATGCACGTCATCCCCCCCCTCCCCCCTGCTCTACTTACTGGCCTCTGGGCTCCTGTTTCTGGTACTTGAGACTTCCAGCCTCCCTCCACTGCCCATCCAGCCTTGTCTCCCCTCTCAACCAGTTAGGCCCTTCCAAGAAGCACCCAATCGATATTAGGTTCACCCTATCTCTTCAACTACATGGATGAACCTCCCAAAAGTCAGTCTGTTTGTAACACTTCCCCTGTTGCAGGAAGCCCCCACCTCGCCTCTCCCTGAGCACCGCAGCCCTAAGAATCTGAGTTCCCCTCCTGCCAGGCTCATGCCCCTTCTACTCTATCCACGGACTGCCTCCCCATCTCCCACCAGTCCACCCTGCAAGCCTGAAAGCAGAACTGGGCTCTCCTCCTCCTTTCCCCAGTATGGAGATTAGCCATGTTGCCTGACTGTCCAGCCCACACCCAGTGGGGACCCAGTTCAGGCATGATGAGGTGGCAACACAGACTCACGCAACATCTTCAAAGGCCAACTTGCAACCCACCCACGTGCCAGTGAAGAGCAGGGGAAGCCCTGTGGGGGTATAGAGAAGGCATGAGTAAGGACTCTGCATCCTGGGCTCAGAGACCCACTCCACCTCCTACCACCACTGCCAGACACACAGAGCACTATGAGGATGGTAAGAGCCTGAAGGTGGGACACATGGCCCCATTATCCAACATCTGCTGTAGGACTCTAGGCTGTCCTTCCCCGCCTCTGTGCCTCAGGTCATCATCAGTAAGCTGAAGGGGCCCAGTGTATGCTCCCTGGGCGTTCCAAGCCCTCTGCCCCCGCCACAGAGCCCAAAGCAGCCCTCCATGCTCACCCCAGCCAGCAAGAACCAGCCACCAGAAGGCTCTCCTTGTGCTGGGCGACGTGGAGGCTAAGAGGCAGGTCAAGTAGACAGCTTCTGCCAACAGCCAGCTGAAGTTGGTCATGGTGGTGAAATGGGAGGTAGCCACAGAGACCTTGCACAGAACCTGTGGGCCAGGGGCCTGGGTGCTTCAGAACTGGGATGCCCAGTGGAGCCCCACCCAAGGGTCCCCTCCACCTCGGGCTGCCCCAGAGGGGATGTGCCATGTAAGGTTTAGTGAAGAGCACAGATTTGGGATGCAAATCTACCACCTATTATCTGGGTGACCTGAGCTTTTCATCTGGGGAAGAAAAAATTTCCAATACCAGTCATGGCCTCATTAGGACTAAATGGAAACTTGTGAGGATGAATTGCCACAATCTTCACTTTCCCCCCTTCTCTGCTGAGCTCAAGTCAATTCCTAGAGCTGTGGATATGCAACACCACTTAGCCATGCCCAGCTCCATCCTACAAACATACACATAGGTACCTATGCATCCATTCACTCACTACATGACTCTCAAATCTGTCACAGGTGGGGAGCACCGCCTTGGAGCCCGGAAGGCCCAGGCTTGGCTCCAGTCCCCCCTCTAAGCAGCTGGATGACGCTGCCAATTGTCCATCAGCTATAAATGGGCCTGAAATGAAAATATATGAACGAAATAAAAGGTGATATATGTAAAGCACTTACTGTAATGCCTGGAACCTAAGTTCTCTCTATATATATTATATTACGTCTTTCATTAAGATCATCTGTTGAATTTGTTCATTCACTTATCTGTTCATTTCCAGCACATTCTTAGAGCAGTGGGTAGGTGCTGGGCCTCCACACTCGGCCCAACTTCCTCTTACTCTCAGTCACTACTCATTCTCCCACCTCCCCTCCCTCATGATGACTTGCCTCGTTCTTGGACAAGTACCAGGCTCTCCTGTCTGTGTGAATTTGCTCACCCCATCCCTCCATTTAACATGTCCCCACCTCCCCACCTCCCTATCTCTGCTGCCCACCCAGCTCCATAGCCTTCTCCTCCATGAAGCCCTCCCTCTCTTCTCCTCTCCCAGCTCCTGAGCTCCCTCCCACTGGCAGTCTCATAACCTGGTGCATTCTGTGCCCTAGGCCCCCTAGGCATGTCTTGAGGGAAGGACCCAGCTCTGCCAGGCTCCTCGCATACCCATGCCCAGCCACAGCCAGGTGATGCTCAGGGAGGTATGAAGTGAGAGGGCGGGGTAGGGGGGAGAGTGGTCCAGGCTGGAGTACAGGACGGGGCCTGGAAAGGGGGGCCCAGAATATGGAGAGTAGCATATGGGAAATGACCGGGGCTGGCAGCCTGGTCTACGAAATGGCACGGGGATTTCAGACCTGACCGCAGAGAGGGGTGGGACAGAGGAGGGTGTTTTTCGGTTCTCTGATTGGCAATGCTGGAGCCCCAGGGTCAGCACACAGGACGGGCAGGCTCTGCATGTGCGCCTAAGTCTCTAACCCAGCATCCTTTCCCGCCCCACCCCAGCGCCTCCAGCCACGGCTGTACCGTGGAGAAACTGCAGTGGTCCGTGTTCTCGCCTTGGAAGAGGGTGGCATCCTTCAGGAACACAGCGGCTGCCTTGAGGATAAAGGTGGTGAACAGCTGGGTGTGGATGTAGTTCCGTGGACAGTGGAGCCTCCTGGGGGGCGGTGGGGAGGGAAGAGGAACAGGGGACAAGTGGGAGAGGGGCTTCTGGTGTGCTCACAGCAGGCCTGGTGAGGTGGAGCAGCACAGGAGGTGAATAGAGTTGAGTGGGATTGGCCTGACGTTAACTTGAGACTTCAGTTTTAGCCTTGCAGAACAGCTGACCAACCAGTGCCCTGGGCTCAGTGTAGGTGAGGGGACAGAGGGTACTAGTCCCTGCCTTCAGTGAGCTCACGGTCTTGGGGAAAGGGAAGAAATGGCAAGGTGCTGCAAGGGGAGCCCCTGGATGACCAGAGAGGTGGGGCTCATCCCCCGAGGCAGGAAACAGCACGGCCTGGGCTGTGGGCTCAGACTCTCCGGCCTGATGTGGGGGCTTAATAAGGGCAACGGTCAAAGGGCTGGAACAGTCAAGCGGGGCTCCACAGAAGTAGCAAAGAGGATTCTCAAAGCAGGTGGGAGCTGGGCTTTAAATTTTTGACAGATTTAAACACATTGAGAAGAAAGGCAGCAGGCATTCCAAGCAAACAGAGCAACTTCACAGGAACAAAGAAAGGTACGGAGACAGGAGTGAATTCTGGAGGGTGAAGGGGTGAAGGGATGAAGGGGTGGGTCTACACGTGCAGAAAAGGAAAAGAAAAGTTAGAAAGGCCATGGTGCCTGGATCTGGGAGCCTCTTGAATACCCAAGCAAAGAGTCACACCCAGTGCTATGGACAATAGGGAGACAAAGAAGGTTCTTAGCTGGTCACGAGGATGGCGAACCTGAGAGCAACTAAGACGGCGATGGCCACGGAGAGAGCTACGACAGAGATGCTGTGGCCCAAGGTGTAGATGATCTTCATGGTGGAGAAGTAAGATTTCTGGGGAGAGTAGAGGTGGACAAAGTCTCAGCAGCTGAGCCTTCGGGAAAAGGGAGGCTTGACAATCAAGCAGGTGAGACTCTAAGCTCTACCCTGAAAACTCCCCACTGGGAGCAGGCGTGTCCACAGGGACCACGCAAGCTCCCTCCATGAACAGAAGCATTTCTTTATGTCCTGTCTTCTGCCCGCCCTGCTGGTGTGGGAGGGGGTGGCGGCAGGGAGAGAAATGCCAAACTCTCACGTTGCTCTGAGGATGGGAACAGGCAGGCGGTGGCAGAAACTATTTCCCTGGGGAATGGCAAAAGCTCGAGAGCAAACTGGGCTTATTTACGGCATGCAGCTTGCTCAACTGGCTTGGGCACATTGACATCTCCAAATAAAGGGGACAGCCAGGGAAAGCCACAAGGAAAAGCTCTTCCCATGACCAAGTCCTTGAATCAAAGTCCAGCCTGGATCCCGGAGTGAGATAGGAGGTACAGGCCATGGGACGGGAGCAGGGGCCCAGCCCCGCTGAGCAATGCAGGCAACCTCAGATTCAGTTTTATCATCTGAAAAATGCTCAGACTCACTCTTTCCTTTGCGGGGCTCAGGAGAGGATGTGGGATTATGGGTGTGGAAGCAATTTACAAAGGCCCTGCTCGAATTGGAAGCGTGAGGTGTACAGGCTAGATTAGGGGGTCACTGCAACCACTTCTGAGCTTGAGCTTCCCTCACTGGACACACCACAGCATGCACACCACTCCACAGAGTAAAGACCAAGAGGGGGAGGGGCTTGCCCAGGGTGACTAGGGGCCTTCGTTTCCCTGCAGTCCCTAGAAGCTCCCTGCCCGAGATGCGCCTGGGTACCGAGAGGGTATGCCACCGAGATGGTGGCCAGCACACCTCTCACCCTGCCCTCTGCTTCTCTCCTAGCAATTGGGTCCATGTATTAACCTTGAAAAAATTAGCAAAAACCGTCCTCTCTCTCACACTCTTCTGGAAACTGCTATAATTCCTATCCCAACCTGTTGGCTTCACTGGAAATGGTGGCAGTTTTGCAGTCCACCCATACAAACATCTGTGACGACCCTTCCTCCAAGATGCTAGGAGCCTCTTACCTCCTCAGTTAACGTCTCCAGCGGCACAGGGCAGGCCACAGGGTAAGGCGGGAAGGGCTCAGACCAGCCTGTGACAGTGCAATCCCGCTTCACAGCCCCTGGGAGGTGAGCAGAGGTGGGGAAGCAGAGATCTTATACCAAATCCTCCTCTCTTCCCAGGAGGGGTGGGGGAGCCCTGGGCCATCGAGTGACACTGGTAGGGTTTGCACAGATGGCCCCTCTCAGAGGCTGTTCCAGGTCCAGCCTGCCTGGGACACATTCTGGGGCCTTCTTATCTGGCCTCAGTGTCACCATCTGTTAAATGGAGAGAATCATTCTCTTGAGGAGTAGAGCTGTAAGTTGGGCCCCCAGTGTCCAAAGGGCTGGGGGGAAAGGAGGCTCTTTCTGCCCCCAGAGGGATTGTTTGCCCCAGACACTCAGGCCAAGGAGGTGAGGCAGAGCAGCGCGGTGCCCTCCCACCCCGCCCTCACTAGTCACAGGCAGGATCTTAGCAGGCAGGCAGATTCCACCCCTGCACCCTCACAGCCAGCCTCCAGCCACACTGGAGAACATTCACTTGAGGCCGGGCCCTGGGCCTAGCAATCCCATGGTCATGCATCCTCACCCCCTGTGCCATTGAGGCTCTTGTTCTCCCCAGGCCACAGGTCAGGAGGCTAAGGGTCAGGCTTGCCCAAGGTAACACCAAAAAAGGGGAAACTGATGTCCAAACCCAGGTCTCCCTGCCCCCAAGCCAGGGATGTGTCTGCCATATTCTGGCACCACCAGATGAAACCACCTCACCTCCACGCCCCACCACTGCACCCAGAGCCCTCACCTGGCTCTGAGCTGAAGTGAGAGAAGAAATCTGGGCAGGGAAGAGTCACCCACTCGCCAGGACCTGCCATCGGCCAGCACAGCAGCCCATCCCAGGTCCTGGGGCAGCCTAGGTAGGGGGAGGAGAGCAGAGGGCACTCAGCCTGGGGCAGGCCCATCCAGCGTTCCGAGTGATGAGGCTGGAGGAGACAAAGGAACCTGAGAAGCCCTCTCCTCCCGCCGCAGCCTTGTACCCAGGGTGGTGTTGGCCATCCCCTCCACCGTGTGCAGACAGGTGCCCTCATCCTCTCTCAGCTGTGCGATGAAGTCGCACTCTGGATGCACGTGGCCCAGTACCTGCAGGAAAAGCCCACGGAATGAGCCAAGCCAACTGGGACTCCTTCTACATCTCAGTCCACCTTAGGCAAGAGACAAAGCCCCATTCACTCCTGTGCCCCTGCTCCTGAGCACAGGGTCTGGCTCACAGCACTTACAGGCATGCTGGTGGAAAGAAGGAAGGGAGGGAGGAAGGAAGGGAGGAAGCAGGTGTAGATGAATGCTTCCCCCTTTCATTGATGTGAGTAAGTTCTGGGACACATCAAATCAAAGCTTTCGGAAGCTGTCACGGAGATGACCGCCTGTATACACACCTGTGTGGTGGCCTTTCCCCTGTCCCCACTTTCTTGCCCCCTGTTCTGCACTCCCGCTCCCTGGAAGAAACTTCACAAAGTACCTTGGTAAGCAGAATAATGCTTCCCACAGAAAAGGTCTGCACCCTAATCCCTGACCCTGGGGGAAGTGCTATCTCACATGGGAAGAGAGACTTTGCTGGTGTTATTGAAGTAAAGGTTGTAAAGTGGGCAGATTATCCTGGATGACCGGGGTGGGCATGAGGGTCCCTGTGAAAGGTGGGCAGGAATGTCAGAATCAGAGTCAGGTAGGGAGGGGTGGCGATGGGAGCAGAAGGGTGTGAGTGAGTGTGTGCGAGAGCAAGAGAGCACGCTTTCACCGTGGTGTGTGCACAGACGAGGGGGACCGGGCCCTCTCTCTGCAGAGGACAGGGCCGTGGAAGTCACCTGTATTGCACCCTATACCAAGCCCTTGATAAATCAGATCCCACTCAAGGCACAACAGCTCTGGGGAGCAGATAATACTCCCTTTTCTTACAAAGGAGACAAGTGAGGCTCAGGGAGGGCAGGGAATTTGCCCAGGTCACACAACTAGTTTCATGGCGCCAAGATTCAGGTCCAAAGGCCATGAACCTAGTGGCAGGTCCAGGTGGGCCTTGGGAAGCATGGCAGCCCCCTCCCTACTGCCAGTGGAGGAAGGACGAGACCTCAGTCCACATGGGCATCCAGGAGCCCCCCCGAAGCCGGGCTTCCCACCCAGTACCCTGGGGTCTCCCCTCCTGGTCCTTGTATCACCTGCAGTAACTCCTGGAAACCACACTGGGAAATCACAGCACATTCAGGGAAGGCCCCTGCCCCGGCCCCCATTTTCCAGCATCCTAGGCCTCTGAGCAATAGCAGGTTGCCCAAAGCGTCCCCAGCTCCAGGGCAGAGCATGAGAAGAAGAGTCTGCCAGACGCCAGCAGGAAGCAGCTGTTCTCTTACCACTCAGGAGCCCTGGGTCCCTGGTGGCACCCTCTTAAAGGGCAGCAGCCAAATGGGAGTGGGGCTCCAGGGATCCTGGGAGAGGGAGGGGTCTGGAGACCTTGTCAGAGGAGGTGTGTATGGAAGAATCGGGGGCATCTGGCTTAGAGAAAGTAGGACTTGGGGTCCAAGGGGAGGGCCTGGCTGCCTCCCTGATTAGGAGGCACTGTCTTGAGATGACAGACAGACTCTCTGTGGCCCTCGGAGGGACATACAGGCCCTGAGGGAAGCAACAGGAAGGCAAACTGAGCAGAGCCTCAGGAAGGACGTTTTCATAGCAGAGCTACCCTGGGAGGGCAGCCTGCCTGGGAAGGGGAGCATGGACGGAGGGGGCAGTGGCATCTGGAGTTCCCCAAGCCGTGGCTGCCACTTGCTCGGTAGGGAGAAGCTCCCGGGCTGGGGGAGGGCTAGGGGACCCCACTAGGCTGCAGCTGGACTGCTGTATTGCCCTGCAGCTCCCAGACCTGGAGCCCAGTGGGAGAGGCAGGAGGTTCTAAGCTGGCTACTCACGATTGGCAAAGAGCTCAGCAAGCAGAGGACACAGGCTCCCCGCACCCCGCTGTCCATGGTGGGGGCTCAGCACTGGCTCCCTCAGTCAGCTCCGTGAGCCCTGCCTGCTTGCCTTCCCCACTGTCCCCTGCCGCTGGCTGCCACAGCACCCTTTGCCTCCCCTTCCCAGGAGGCTGTTTGCATAGGCAGGAGCCAGCAAAGGGGAGAAAACTTAATATTCACTGGATTAGGCTGAATAGTCACAAGATTGCAGGACACCATGCCCAGCACAAGACCCTGGGGTGAGATTATGTGTCTCCAGAAAGGAGGGGCTGAGCCCCCCCAACTCTGGGTGTCTATCATGATAGAAAGCACCCAGAGAGGGGACAGTCACAGGACACTTCTTGCCCAGTAGGTCATTATTCTTCAGCACTTTCTTCTCTTGAGTCCAGCCCTCTGCTGGCCCACACTGGAGAACTCCCCCAAAATGAAGGAGATTCAGAGAAGAAGACCTGGGCCTGCCCTCAGGGAGCCCCAGTTTTCCAACCTCATCCATGGGGCTGGAAAGTGGGCTCAGGGCTGGAGGGGCCTATTGGCAGGAGCTCCTTTCTTTCCCCGGCATGGATGCCAGGCTGGATCGCAAGGTGAAGTCCTCAGATATCAAGGCTCTGAACTTCACACGGGGGTTTGTCAAAGTCTCTCTGGAAGTCCTCATGGCAACAGGGAACAATGAGGCTGAGTGGGAGGCTTGCAAGGGTTTCATGAAGCCGGGCCACCTGGATGGGGTAAGACCACTGTAATGAGTAGCAGAAATGAGAGGACTTAGGTGCTGCTCCAGTTATTTTCAACATTCATTACCTGGTCATTGTTATTATAGTTTTAGACTTTAAACTGTGGAATCCCAGTGGGCCAAGCTAAAGACAGTGTTGTAAGTTACCTTGGATCTTGCGCAGCACTGAGATTTGCAAGCCCACTTTGTCTCCGAGGGCCCTGGATGCCCCAGCACCTGGTAGGCCCTGACATCTGTGTGCAGGTCTGCATTCCCGGAGCTTGCTGGGCTGGATGCTGCTGACACCAGACATGTTTACAGCCTGACTCGAATCATGAATGATGCAGGCTCCTCGCCCCCGCCACATCTGGATTGAGGAATCATTTTACATCAGCACGGCTTTATTCTTCCATTTGTATTCATTGTCAGCAAAATGTTGAAGAAAAATATTTTGAAAAGAAAACATGAGCCAGCCTGTGCCTCAGACCCCTTTGCCCCTGCATATACACACACACAAAATATCCTCAACAAAGTATTAGCAACTCAAATCCAGAAAGATATATAAAGGATAGCAGAATTCATCCCAAGAGTGCAAGACTGGTTCAAAATTCAAAATCCAATCAATGTAATTCACCATATTAACCAATAAAGACAAACCATATTCTCTCCGGAAATACAGAAAAGCTTCTGACAAAATTCAACATTTCTTCATGATTAAAACAAAAAACTCTCCAGAAACTAGGAATAAAAAGGAACTTCCTTTACCTGTAAAAGAACAGCTTCAAAAATGCCTGCAGCTATCATACTAAATGATGGGAGACTGATGCTTTCCCCCAAGATAGGACAGAAGAGAAAGCTGTGCTCCCTCACTGCTTCTATTCAACATCAAATGAGATGTCAAAAGATAGAGATAAAAGACATGCAGTTGGCAATGGAAGAAATGAAACTGTCTCTTTTGGTAGAAAACAAAATTGTCTATGTGGAAAATCCAAAGAAACCTACAGAAAAAGCTCCTACAATTAATAAATGAATTTAGCAATGTTTCAGGAGCCAAGTAAACATACAAAACACATCGTATGTCCATGTATTTTCAATTGACAATTGGAAACCAAAAATTTTTAAACTATTATGTATAATAGCTTCATAAAATAATACTTGGGTATAAATATAACAAAATATGTGCAGGACCTAGATGCTGACCCCTATAAAACACCAATGAAAGAAATAAAAACCTATAAAAAAAAATAAAGAGAGAGAGAGCTATGCTGTGTCCATCGATTGGAAGATTCAATTTTATTAGGATGGCAATTCTACATAATTTGGTCTACAGATTCAACATAAACCCTGTCAGGTGTTTTTGTAGATATTAATAAGCTGATTCTAATATTTATATGGAAAAACAAAAATATCTAGGATAGTAACACAATTCTGAGAGAAGAAAGTTGAAGAGATCAAATTCAGACCTGCTATAGCTTCAGTAATCATGACAGTATCAACTAAAGCATAGACACATAGATCAATGGAACAAAGCAAAAAGTCCAGATATAAACCCACACAAATGTAGTCAGCTGATTTTTTTGTAAAGGTACAGAGACAATTGAATAGTTAAAAGATAGATAGCACTCAACAAAAAGTGTATTGAGTATCCATATGCAAAAGAAAAAAGCGAACCTCCATGAATACCTCACAACTTACACAAACTAACTAAAAAGGGATCATAAGCCTGAATGTAAACATAAAACAATCACCTAGAAGAAAACATAGGGAAGAAAATTTCATGTCCTTGGGTTTGGGAAAGACTTGTTAGATGTGATATGAAAAGCACAAACCGTAAGAGAAAAAACTTGGCAAATTGGGCTTTATCAAAATTAAAACCTGGTTCTGCAAAGAGATTAAAAAGACAAGCCACAAACTGGGAGAAAATATTTGCAAATCATGTATCTGATAAAGGACTTGTATCCAGAATATATAAAAAGCCCTCAAGATTCCACAGTAAGAAAACAAACAATGCAACTTTTAAAAGGCACAAAATAACTGAATAGATCCTTCACCAAAGGAGACAGACAAATGGCAAATAATATACAAAAAGATGCTCAATGCCATTAGTCATTAGGTAAATGCAAATTAAAACTGCAAGCTACAAACCAAAAATTACACACGTATTATTAGAATGGTTAACATTTTTAAACTGACAAAACTAAGTACTAGCAAAGATGCAGAACTGGAACTTTCATATATTGCTGATGAGAATATAAAAATACTACACACTGGAAAACAGCTTAGCAGTTTCTTTTCAAATTAAACACATTTACCATCAATCCTACTCCCAGGTATTTACCCAAGTGAACTGAACATATATTCACCTGTACACAAATGGTTATAGCATCTTTATTTGTGATCACCAAAAGCTGGAAACAACCTAGATGTCCTTCAACAAATGACTGGTAAACAAGCTGTGCTATGTTCACACTCTAGAACACGACTCATCAATGAGATGGGACAGGCTATTGAGTCACGCAACAATATGGATAAATCTTAAATGAACGTTGAAAGGTGAAAGAAAGAAGACGATGCCAAAGGCTGCATACTATACTCTTGCATGTGTCTGACACACCAGGAGAGACAAAACTATAGGGACAGAAAAAGATGGTAATTCTCTAGAGTTGGGAGTGAGAGAAGAATCTGACTATAAAGGGAAAGCATGAGGGAATTTGTGGGGGTCAAGGAACTCTCATGTTGTAATGTAGTGTTGGACATATGACTACATCTTTTTGTCAGAAGCCATAAAACTGTACATCTCAAGGAGTGAATTTCCTGCATGCAAATATTTTTAAAAATCAACCAGGATTTCAGGGATTCTCAGGGTGTAATGCAGACCATGACAAATGAGCCTGACTGCATTACAAATATACGACATAACTGCACTGTAGGGAGTGGGAAAGAAAGGAGCTGACTGAAGTATTGTGCCTGGATACTGTGAGGCTAAAGATAGAAATAACTGTACACAAATTCCGTATTCTGTTTGGTAAATTTATTTTTCACAACGTTATGAATTAGGAATTCCGGAATACTTTGTATGTATAGGAGGGTGGCACATAAGTGAATATATTGTAGATAATAAGATCCAAAGGAAGATATTAAAGTTAATGAGAGCCAAAGAAGTTACAAATAAGGAAAGAAGCTGGACTGGAGTCATGGTGTTAATATAAGTTATGTATTCCTTTAAGAGATAGATAGATAGGAAGATAGGTAGGTAGGTAGGTAGGTAAATACCATGTACATACATACATATACATGGGTTAGTATATGTTCATACATTTTCCAGCTCTGCCTAATGAGAGGGCCTAGGACCAAGGACACCATTTGCAGCAAGCAGTCAGATGTTGGTATCTAAATACTACTCCAATTAAAAGAACCAAGGTTGCTTGGAGAAACGTTGATTCCAGGGTTGGGGCAGGAGTAATTCAAGATGAGCCTGGAGCATCTGATGGTGCTAGAAAGTTATGAACAAAAGAGGAGGGGTTGGTGACTGGGGAAGGAGAGGAGGGAAAGACGTTAAAATAAGGGGAAGAGGTTGGGTACATTTCAAAGGACACAGGAACAGACCTGGAAGAACTCCCAGTGGCCAAAGCTGGCCATTTGAGCTACCAAATAAATAGGAACAGTATTGCATTATATTCCAAAGAGTAAACTAAATAGCCAGGAGTTCACATTGATATAAATGAGCTATGGAGAAGCGACAATTCTTCCTTATAGAAGAATTCTATTAATAAAGGTTGATGGAATAAGGAACACAGAAAATCACCATTAGAACAGCACATTATATATCTGTGTAGATAAATCCACCAGTGAATGCCAAAGTTTAAGGAAAAACAAGATATGTGTCTAGTTTCAAAGTATCTTCCCTAAACTTTAATTTTTAAAAAAGGGAAAAATGGTAGCTTTTCTGACAAATCCAAAATGAAAGATATTGGACAAAATACTTGATGGTCACAGAGTAGAGGAGACCAAGAAAACATGACAGCTAAACACAGTGTGGATCCTGGATTGGATCCTGAAACAGAAAAAGAACTTAAGTGGAATCTGAATAAAGTCTGTAGTTTAGTTAGGCATTGTACTAATGTTAATTTCTTAGTTTTGACATCTGTACCATGTTAACATACGTAGATGTTAAAATGAGGGGAATTCTCTGCACTATCTGTGCAATTATCCTTGAAGTCTAAAACTATTTTAAAATAGAAAGTTAAAAAGAGACAGGGTTAAGAAACTGAAAATGAAAAGGCAAGCCATTAAATGAGAGAAATATTTCTAAAATGTAAATCTTATAGAGAACTTACACCTAGAACATACAAAGAATTCTCACAACTTAGTAAAAAAGGAAACAACCTGGTATTAAAAGAATGGCTGGGATTTGAATAGTCGCTTAGCCAAAGAAGATATGAATGACAAATAAGCATATTTAAAGATACTTAACATCATTAGCCATTATAGATATATAAATTTCACCACGTTAATTCACTACACACCCAGAGCAGCTAAAAGTAAAGAAAAAAAACAATACAAGTCTCCGCAAGGGTATAAAGCAACTGGAATTCTTATGCACTACTAGTGGGAATGCAAAATGATACAGCCTCTCTAGAAAACACTTTGGCAGTTGCATATAAAGTTAAACATACATTTATATGACCCAATAATCCTACTTCTAAGTAATTATCCAAGATGAACAAAAACATGTTCACACGAAGACTTTAACCCAATTGTCCTAGGTGCTTATTGATAATAGCTAAAATCTGGGAACATTCCACACATCCCTTACTGATGACTAGATTATCAAATTATGGTCTATGCATATGACAGAATGTTTATCAGTAATCAGCAGAAATGAGATACCAGCACATAAAACCACATGGATGAATATCGGAAGCATTATGCTAAGTGAAGTAAGTCGGATTAAAAATACTCCATGCAGTATGATTCCATCTACATGAAATTTTGGAAGAATAAAACTATAGTGACAGAAAGCAGACCACAAGTTGCCAGGGCCCAGGATGAGGGCTGTAAACTGACTGCCAAGAAGTAGATGGGAATATTTTGGGAATGTCAGAAATGTTCCATATGACTATGATGGTGATTGTACTACTGTATGAATTTATTAAAATGCATTAAATTGTACACCTAAAATTGGTGGACTCATATGTAAATTATCCCTCAATAATGCTAATTTAAAATATACAGATTTTTAGTAGGAAAAAAACAAGTTGCAGTGTTTTTTAGTTTTTTAATTTAAAATAGACTGTATTTGTGGAAGTAAAAATATTTTTAAATGTTTGGAAGCTCCCACATCAAAACCAAAAAAATGGGGAAAAGAAGAAAGGGTCAGGGAATGGCATGTAGGGGATGGTCACG